TGAACTACACCCTGCTTCTTTTTGTAACGAGATTGCAAAACTCATTGCGTCATCGACCATATACGAAGTGGCCATCAACACCCCATCCCAATAAGGAATCCGTTGTCCGTAGACATAGGACTCAACAGCCGCCATCCAATGCAACACGCTTTCTTCCTTTTTGCCGGTGTATGTCCATGGAATTTTAACTTTAATTTTGTTGCTGGTCCCTGCTCCTTCTTCTCGTTGTCTTCCCTTTCCTTTCAGATCTCCATCACCTCCATCCCCGTCTCTGTCACCACCTCCTCCTCCGCCGCTGCCCTGCACTATTCTCTCAATCACGGCTGGAGTGAAGGTTTGAGTGAGATGATCATCCAGTTTGTTGATATAGGATTGAATGTGCAGATCTACGTCCTTGGCGGACTTCTGCAGAAAAGTGTTCCATACATTTTCAAACTCCAGTTCATTCGTTTCAACTTTCTGCAAGGTCCTATTGATTGTAGCAACTTCCTGTTTCGTATGGAGAAGTATTTCAGTTAGGAGGGTGAGTTTTTTTTCAGTAGCTGCTTGCTTTTCCTTTTGTGCCTGCAGCTCGCGGTGTAACCTTGCCCCCTCTGCTTGCAATTTTTTTCTATCATCAAGCTCTTTGCGCTTCGCCGCTAGCATCTTGCTGTGCAATTCAGTGCGTTTTTCTTCCAGCATCAGTTCTCTCTCCCTTTGATCTGTTACTAGTGCTAGCCTTGCTATGAATGTGTCTCGTTCTTCTTCTGATTCTTCTAATTTGTCAGTGGAATAAGAATACTGGTTATACCAGTCCAATGGCTTGACAAAGACTTCCCCCGGATCTCACTTCTCTCGCCACTTTCTGCGCGCCGCCTGATAAGTCTTTCTCCCCCTTCCTCCGAGGCTTCTTCTTCTTCCTTAATAGTTTGCAACTCATCCTTTATTTCTTGTTCCTACTTTTCCTTTAACTTCCTCTTCATCTCCTCTTCTTCTAACTGGCTTTTTTATTTAACTCTTCTTCTTTCTTCTTCTTTCTTTCTTCTCTTTCTTTCTTCTTTTTTGCCTGCCGGCGGTCAATCTCTGCCTGCTCAGCAGGTGTGGGCCCTGGCTTCACTGCTCCTGATCGCATCATCATGCGGGACGTGGACACGCGTCCGAACCCCAGTGGGAATATGAACCTGAACAGTGGGCCCCACAAGACAGAGAGGGTCAACAGGCCCTGAATGGGATAGTCATCCATGCACAGAAGACCCTCCGCCGGATCACCAAGATACTATCCCACTTACAGACTTAATTTTGACTAGCGGTAATAGAGTATTATACTGCCTCTTTCCCTTTTCGACTGTAGAAGGTGCTGCGTACTATCAACAATAGCTCAACCTGAAATGAACTTTGAATATGCCTTTTCTTTTTTTTTTCTTTTTTTTTGATGTGCTATCTGGCCTCCTGGATCGAACTTTTGGTAATGTGTTTCTGTTGTCTTGCTTTCTCTTTTTTTTTTTTTTKTTGGTACTAACTTGGCTGGTTGCTGGGTGCAGATATGGAGTATAGCGCAGAAGGTCAGATGCAATTGGTTCACTTATCCAACCAGGCAGAGATACTTCGTATACCCTGTTCTTTCTTCCGGGCTTGACAGGCCCTGCAGATGCTCAATATAATCCTTATGCTGCCTGGTACATGCTATCTGACGTGGTTCATAGCCCTTCCCACATCGATCCTTGGTTCTTAATGACGATACCCAGCCTGCCTAACAAGAGGGATAGGAGACTCCTATTCGCAGGACACTGGACCACCTACTCTAGTGTGACCAGTTCCTGACACATCACACTTGGGTCATCAGACTCTGACAGCCCAGACCTGACAGCTAGGACAACCCAGATCCAGACTTCGACTCCTGACCAGATCAGCAGCAGTCACCTTCAGAGGGTCAGAGAGAGAGAAGGTAGGGGACACACACATGCATGCAGGTTCAGGGAAAGGAGGTGCTTCTCTTTTCTTGAAGATATCGCCGATGAAGATTCTCCACGACGCTCCGCACGCTCCAGGTAAGTAGACTTCGCCACTTCTTCTTTGGCCTGCTTCCCCCACTATTGCACACTTCTTCTCCTCCTCCCTCCTTCACTATCCTCCATCACCACTTCTTCTCGCTGGCCTTGATCAGACCAGCGCTATGAGTGTAGCGAGCATCTGCTCCGATACCAAATTTTGCATGGGTCCTGGGGACCATCTCACACAAGTGTGTACATGCCATGCATCGTACTCCCACACACAATGAACAGTAGTCTCACAATAGACAAAGATAGAGAAGATGAGGACCGAGTTTCACAACTTATATTATCAGAAATATGAATACAAAGTGTTTCAAAGGTCCCCTGAGTCCAGCGCTCATCAGCGCAACACCAATATCTTGCCAACTCATCAATATGACTTCCAGTGAATCAGTGCTACCCCTGCAGATAGTCTCCAAATCATCAATGTGGTCACTACTCATCAGCGCCACCTCTGCAGGTCACATCCAACTCAGGTAAGTATCT